TCTCAGATGGAGCATTGATATTAGTTGAGATGGATAGAAATGATCTATTTTATTCTATAAATTCTGATGCTATGAAAAATACTATGCTTAAAAAAAAAAGAAAACTCAAGGCAGAAATCTTAAAAGGGCGATTTGAGTCAAAATGGGGTTTATCTAAATTGAAAACTTGAAAAGATGACTTAGATAAGGAGAATACGACATTGAATTAGAAAATTCACCAGTATAGAGGCTAGCATATTCTGATGAGCTCTAAGTTATTAAGTACATCGGGTGGTTGAGTTTTTTGAAAAAGATTTTGATATATGTTATCATGATTGTCTGATTGTTTTATTTCTAGCATTGTCTCCCCATACCTATCTTTGTAATTCTTTCTTTTTCACACTGGCCAAAGCTGTGCTATCATTTTTGCTAATAAGCGATATTCCACTTCAATCTTTGTGTTTCTCTTTTATTGATTATTTTTCATTTATTTTCCAATCATTCCTACTATTTTCTCTTCAATACCTTGCTATGGAAGAAATGCGTGATTGTATTCTCATTTTTTGAGATTGAAATAATGATTGATAAATGAATAATAGCATGAAAGATTTCTACATTACCTTGGAAAGGTTAAGAATGAAAAGGTAAGTATGACATGTTCAGCTCTTGGTAAGGGCAGTAAATTTGAAAAAGAGGAAAAAGATTTCTTGAAATAGAAGAATGAGAGTTAAAAGAAAGGAATGATTGAGAATTACATTGAGTTGGTCTTTGTACCTGAAGATTGAGGGGTTCGGAGCCTAAGAAAAGAGCTTGAGAAACTTGAGTACCATAATTGAAGAGAAATTAATTAACCAACATTTGCATAGCATGCATTGTATTTCTAAATATCCAATGCATAGCATATGAGAAAGGGTCTAATGCATGAATTTAGGGAGCATGGATATTTCAAGATCCCACATAGAGAAGACAGATGTGAAGACTTTTTGATAAAAGAGTTTCAAATTCTTGTTTGAGGAAAGATTTATAAGGTAAGATTCTAATCCTTAGAAGAGGATATTTCTTAGTATTATGAACAATTTATAAGACTTTTGGGCATAATCTCTTAAAATTCTTTCAGACACATTTTGTGACTCATTTGGACATGATTGTTGATGAGCTTTTTATTTTTTAAAGTTGTTATGCCTCTATTTGGAGGAGCATTTTATTTTCCAAAGTTGTTATATCTCTGTTTAGAGGAGCTTTTTATTTTTCAAAGTTATTGTGCCTTTGTTTAGAGGATGCCTCTATTTAGAGGAGTAGTTTATTTTTCAAAGTTGTTATGCCTCTATTTAGAGGAGCATTTTATTTTTCAAAGTTGTTATACCTTTGTTTAAAAGAGTCTTATTTTATTTTTCAAAGTCGTTGAGCCTCTGTTTAGAGGAGCATTTATTTTTCTTAAAGTTGTTGAGCTTCTGTTTAGAAGCACTTTGTTTACTTTTTTTTAAAAAAAGTGTGAATATGCTGGGATGATCATGTGCAGGGTATCTACATCTTTACGTAATTCTTGTTGCACAGAAAATGTGCAAAGAGGGGTAACTATCGATACCCAATTTAGTCTAGGCTCGGATCAATTAAGCATGTTCAATGGGTCAAATCAGCCCAATGATTTACTAATTTATTTATTTATTCATTTATTTATATTATTTTATTATTATTCTAAATTTTATCTTGATTATTTATCTTTTGATTATTATTATTATTTTAAGAGATAATGATAGTGGTCAAAATAACAAAAAAAATGAATCTTGCCGTGAATTGGGGCTGGCACAATCTTAGTTGGTTTCAATTTCTACGAGGATAAGTCTAGTGATTTTAGGAGTTCCTATCAAGGGTGGACTTAGAATCGTTCAAAAACTCCTTTGATCATAGCTTATAAATACCCATACAGAGGAACAGATTAAAACGCACAAAAAATTAGAGCAAAAATTAGAAATACGGAGGTCAGCACGCAAAAGTAGTCAGAAGCTCGTTTGGAAATTTTTGGGTTTCAAAAAAAAAACATTTTCTAGAAAATTTTTAAAAATTTCAGATTTCGATTGAATTTTTCTACAAAAGTTGAATTTTTTGATGACTTTTCGGCAAAATTCCCAATTTCCAGCAAGATCCCCAATTTTCGACGTCACATCCCCAGAAATTAGTGAACTTTTCGATGAGCTTTCGATAAATAACCCAAATTTCGATCAGATTTTCTAGAATTCAGTAAAATTTAACCGATGTTCTTAGGGGGTCTAGAGAGAGAAAAAAGAGAAAAGAAAGAGAGAAGAAAGGAAATCTGAAAGAAAAGCTAGGATTTAGGCTTATATACCCTTTTAAAATGACGTCATTTTGGCATTAAGAGACCTATCAAGATCCATGCGTTTCCATTCGAGCGACCCGACTATAGCATTGACTTACTTTTGACCTGCATACCAGTTGATCCCTTGAGCCTAGCCGTCAAGCCGCATCCTTTGAGTCGTTTTTTGTGCCTAGAGTCGAGCCGTGCCGAATCCTCAAGCTGAGCCATTTCATTTTTTTTATATTTTTTATTTATTGTTATTTATTTATTTTTATTTATGTGTATTTTTGCATGATAAGTTTAGGGAAAATATATAATAAAATTTTGAAATAAATATTAATTATCCAATGATGGAATTTATAAAAATTTCAAATGGTAAATTTTTATAAAATTCCTAAATGGGAAATTTTTGTCTAAATTTGTCCCAAATGATAAAATAATTTAGATAAAGTTTTAATAACAATAATTAATATTTATTTTTAAATAGAAAAAAGAGAAAACCAAAAAAATAAAAATTTTGGAATTAAATACAAATTATCCATGGATGAGATTCTTGAAAATTTCAAATGATAAATTTCTAAGAAATCTCTAGGTGAAATTTTTTTTTTTAATTTGCCTCAAATGGTGGAATAATTTAGATAAAATTTTAATTAAAGTAATTGTATTTTTTTTCAAATTTGGTTGAAAATATTTGATAATTATCCAAGGATGAGATTCTTAGAAATTTCAAATAGTAAATTTTTAAGAAATCTCTAGGTGAGAAATTTTCTCTAAATTTGTCCCAAATTGTGAAATAATTTAGATGAAATTTGAATAAAAGTAATTGTATTCTTTTCCAAATTTGGTTGAAAATATTTGATAATTATCCAAGGATAAGATTCTTAAAAATTTTAAAAAAACTAATTGTCATATTACTTTCTTTCAAAAAAAAAAAAGAGAAATAAAAAGAATTTCTAAAAAAGTTCAAATTGTGGAGAATTTAGAAATTCAAAAAAGAAAAATATTTTTAATTTGGCTTAAATGGTGGAATAATTAGATATATTTTCAATAAAAAAAAATAAAATATAAAAATGATTAAACTTTCTTTCGACGACAAAGCCTCTTCAAGAAAACAAATGAGATTCTTGAATACTTTTAAAATGAGAAAATATTTTTAAGAGTTCTATCAGATTGTTGGAAGAATCTTATGAGTTATTTCCAATATTTAACATAAAAATTTGAAATCATTATAATCAAGACCATAAGATAAATTTAAAATAAAATGGTACCATCCTTCGAATGGGCATGTAAGGGTACTATAATCTTTCTCATATGTAGCCGAACTCCCAAACCTTATTCTGATTTGTAAACTCAAACCTATCTTTTTAGAGACCTTTCGTCAAGTTTAGGAGCTCCTTAAAAAGATAGATTTTTTAGGTAGCTAATCATACATAGATAAAAAAGATTAGTGGTGACTCTATTTGTTAAGTCTAGCTGTAGACTTTCGAATCTATATGTTATGACATAGTTCATTGATAATAAAACTAAAAAGAGTTTTATTATTCGAAAAGGTTGTTATACTGCTCCCAAAGGAAATCTTTTAGCAAATTAACAAAAGTATTATTTTGCAAACAGAAAAATTGTTGCATGAAAAATTTTCAGAATACTATTTTTCTCTCTATCTTAAAACTCTGTTTTGAGAGAAAAACTTCCTAAAATAAAATTTAAACTTGATCATGATACATTCGATGTAACAAGCATTGAAATGGGTTTTGTTGGAGAAATGATCGTTTAAAAATTTTCATTTCAACATATCACCAATTTTCTAGCCTTCATAAAATCTTAATTTCATCAATACGAAAAAATAATCGATTTTTCTTCTATATATATATATATATTAAAATTTATAGTTTGATAGGATCTTTCATTGGAGAAAAATTCTATCAACCATATCAAATTTGGGAAGTTAAAAAACTTGTTTCTGGCTCTCCTACTGAACAACTAACTGAAGCCATTGAAAACCCTGACCAGTTAAACCAAATGGTTCACAAGTATTCCAATAATATGATCTTGTAAATATTTATTTGACATTATACTTTTTACAAGAAAATAATATCAAAGAAATTAAAAAAATTATACTTTTATCTCTTTATTTCTATTTCATGTTTTAAAGCTCATATCGCCTAGTTTTTTGGTTTCGTTACTGGTATTTGTGGCATGGAGTTGCCTTTGTTAATTGATTTTTTTGAAATCATTCAAAGAATTTGACATTGGTTTTAGGCACCTAAAATATAGAACCAAATAAAGACGATAATTATATCTATAAAGAAAAAATTTATAATAATAGTTTGTATATAGATCCAGCTTATGAATCTCGTAATATTGTTATAAGTAGAACTATAAATTGTTTTATTGATCTTTCTTTTTCTTTTTTTAAAAACTTTTTTATAAAAATAGATAATATTGAAGAAAAAATAAATAATATTTCTACTAAATTGGAACAAAAATCAGAAACAGATTATATAAAATTTTCACATACATCTTTGCATAAATCTTCCCAAAGATTTATTAATGAGATAAAACTTTTTGTAAAAATGAATAATATTGAAGAAAAAATAGATAATATTTCTATTAAATTGAAACAAAATCAGAAACAGATTATACAAAATTTTCAAATAAATCTTCACAAAGATTTATTAATGAGATTAAAAACATTTTGTAAAAATGGAATGGTATGTGAAGCAAAAATATCCATTCATCCATTATACATCACCCCATTTGTTATGACCACAGAACAGATAGATCGCTTCAAGCCGGAGGCGGGAATAGAGTTAATTTGCAGTACATGTATTTATTTTATTTTATTTTATATACACGCTCCACCACAATCTCGTACAAGAAAACCCAGGGACTAGAGTCTATCTATCCCTGCTGCCTTACAAATAAGCTTATGTGAATCCAAATAACAGTCTGAAAATTCAAGCTAAAACTTTCGTGTATTCATTGATGCACTCTTCTTCGCAGCATTTTCGGACCATGACGATGGCTTGAATCCCCCTGTCAGCAAGTTAGAAGCTGCAGCTGCACAGATTTTTCTTCTCTTAGACTCCAGCTCCAACCTTTTCTTATCAGACGTGGAGGACCCAGATGATCCAGCGAAGATTGAAGCAGCTTTAATCAATGCTCGTTTATCTTTCCTATTTCTGTCAAACTTGGAAGAAAATTTGACTCCAGCAGCTGCAGCGGCATCTTCTTTGCTTCTTGGAAGGAGTCGAACGCTAAGGCCCATCTTCCTGGAAGCAGATTCTTCTTCAAAGACCCTCTTCTTTTGACTCTGAGAACATAAAAAGAGCGAGTAAAATGTGGAAGCAAGTCTATTAGAATATGCAAACAACTAATTAGTCTGAGATCAGTAACATACTCTAAGTTTGCCACGGAGAGATTTGTTGAGCGCATAGTCATCTGAATGCCTGGCATCAGACACTCGTTGAAGGCGAACTAGTATTGGTTCAGCTTCTTTCTTCTTCTGCAAATCCTCTTCCTCATGCTCAAGACGATAAAATGGATCTGCCAGCTTGCCTCTTTCTGCATAAAATGATCAGAACTTTAAAATCGTAATCATGAATAAAATGAGTAAGCCCCGGTAACGGCACTACAATGTTATGACCAAATTGCTAGTATTATAATCCATTAGATGGACCTTTCTAAGGCACATTACTGTAAGTATAATTCCAATGGAGACAGAAAAACAGAAAAGGAAAAAAATGTTTGGAAAAAGATGACAAGGCTCATTAAGTGTCATGCAGAGGCCTACGGGTTTAACCCTCATCATCAGTCAACCTGCGCTTTTGATTGCAAGATATACAAGGATTCACACTTTGTCAAACCGTTAGGTCCCTGCCATTGGTGCAAATTGTGCCACAAAACTTTGTTTTCAAGCAAAGAAAAGGTGGCTCTGTGGGAAGTCATCATATAAGAATCTATAAATCCATGTAACTCACTACATACCTTCATCACCAGGAAGTTCTAACGTCTCTGCGTCCCCAACATCAAACACTTCAGTTTTCCGCTGAGCCCCACTAATGATCACATACTCACAATTTTTCGGGTCTGTCTGAATGATGATCTCATGTTTACAGCAAGCAGACTTCATGGTAAAGCTCCATATCTAAAAAAATTACTAGTAATTGTTAGGAATACCAGATCTGCGCAATTAACAAAAACCAACACACACAGAAACTCTTCCACCAGTTCAAATTAAAATGAATTACAGAGAGTAGCTTATGCAATCAGTAAGAGAAGATACCTTCGTAGAATAGTAATTTCCCACTTGCTTTTTTTCAGAGTTGAACCGTACACCTTTCGCTATCATAGAATTGCATCCACCACACCAAACATTGAAAGGCATTTCGAACCTGGAAGCATGGCAACAATGAAAATCAGACACTACAATAACGATTTACAAACCAACTTCCCAAACAACAACATTAGCAAGGGCCATTTAAAACGAAAATACAGTGATAGATATTGCCTTCTTAAGTATAGAGCTTTTTAGTTTTTTTTTTGGAATAACAAAAGAAAAAGGATAGAGAGATATTGATTTCTTATATAAACCAAATAATTAACAAAATCTTTGGCAAAAGAAAATGGCAAGTTAGAACCTAGTTGCAAACCACTCTTATCAGAATTCAGTGAGAAAATTATTAGTGAAATATCCCCAAAAAAGCTCAGCATGTACTTTTTCAGATGATTATTTCAAGATTAACGATGACAAAAAATAAACATATTGAAGATACTGAAACAACGTATTTAAGGCAAAAAAATAGTATTGAAATTCCAAAAGGAGGCGTGATTTATTACCTTATGATCAAAATGCCTTGATCTATTTTCCTTGCCCTCTCTCTCAAAGCATGTTGACCATGAAACTTGTTCAAAGAGCCCTAGAAAGAAGAGCAATGCCGAAATTTAAAACATTATGTCATAAATCATAACTTATCTTAGCAAAAGATTTCCTTAGAACCAAAAATAAATTCATGAAGCAAATAATTCTAGACCCTGATACCTGACTTGGGTCCCATTCTGGAGGATAGTAAAAGTTATCTGCTCTAGCAGCGGCAAGTGAAGACTGCAGAAGCACAAACAAAGCGGGTCAAGCATTTTTACATTAATTGGCAATGGAGGAGGGAGAAAGAAAAAACCAATCTTCAGACAAATGTTGAACAGCAGAAAAACTTAACAGCATTAATTCACCCCACAAAAGAACTAGTTAACACTACAACTTCACATGAGAAACAGAGTAAGAGTACTTAATATTCTTAAAATATATTCCCCTTGAAACATTGATGTAAAACGTTTTTAAGAAATTGAATTAAATCTATCAAGCCATATGAAACTAAAGCCATATTAATATCATAAAAGCAACACAATCAAGAAAAATAAATGTAAATTAATCCAACATGGTAAAACTAAATCACTATGAAAGGATCCTAAGATCTATAACGAACCATTGCAATTGCAGGAAACCCTAATCATGGGAAAAAAAAAAAAGGGAGAAAAGGATAAGCCAAAAAATATTTAATTTAATCTTAAATGTAATCGAAAATCAGGTGTTATAATTTGCCTACCATATTTTCTTCTCGTTCTTGTTCTTGTCTTTCTTCTGATTAGGATTCTGGAAATTAGGATTGGGTTTTTTTGTTTGTGGTTTGATTAAAACAATTGTAAGAGCAAGTAACAGAAAGGCGCGGAAGAAAAACATTTTATATCATATATAGTCGAAGCCCTGTTGCGTGGGCTTATCACCGACAAGGATAATAGATGTGGTAATCTGTTGGGTTCCATTTTGGGCTACTATGGGCTGGTTGAGGGCCCAATCATATGTTTTTGGGATAAAATTTTACCTCGCATTTTTTGGGTAAAAAAAAAAAGAAAAGAAATTATGGTTTGTTGTTGATAGGATAGGAGTATTAAGTCGAAAAGCTGACAAGGTATAGAGCCAACTCTAAAAATATTATATACAATATGCATCACCTAAGTCTTACACTATTTTTTTCATTAAATAAAAAAATAAGTCTTACATTTTTTCTTATTTTTATACTCTAAGTTTTGCAATTACACTAAGTATTATAAAACAGAAATCACTTATAATTTTTTTATCATTAAATCAAAATTTCCATCATTAATTTAGAATAAAATAATATTTTTAAATTTAATCATCTTGATTCAATGATAAAAAATATAAAATTTATATTAATGCAAATGGATCCATATTTAAAATAAGACCTTAAATTACTTCTTCATCAAAAATAAAAAGTAGTATAAAATAGTAAGGCGTCGTTTGGATTGAATCCAAGCTATGATGTGACGTGGTTGAAGCTCCTTTTTTTTTTTTTTTGGGCTCAAACGTACCGTGATGATCTGTTTGGGTATCATGGATGTGGTGCGGTAAAAATATATTCATTGTGCTGCACCTCCTTGGGCTAACCACGCCCTTAAGGGTCTAGTGAACTTCAACTCTGCCTCATACCCTTTTTACCCATCAGCTAACAATCAAACTCATAACTGCCAATAATTGAAAAAAATCCTAGAAAAACTTAAGATCTCAAGGGAGAGGGAAAGCTTTTGTCTAAAAAAAGTATGGAGGAAGAAGGAGAAAGAGGACAAAGATGATCTGATTTCCACCCGTGTTTGACAGAAGAACAATGACAGTTTTTAATTAGACTTGTAGTTATAAATTAAATTAAATTAAATTAAATTAAATTAAATTAAATTAAATTAAATCATACCATATCATTATTCAATTTTCATTCTAAACCTTTTATTTCCATGGACATCTCTTTGCTTTACTATATCTAAGCCCCAAACAACCAAGTAAAGGCCTTTTTATTTTGGTGTCAAACCGAACGTTTGCTTTAATTAATTAATTAATTAACAATTACAACTATTTTTTTTTTTGTTTTCTTTTAATATATAAACCAAAAGGAATAACAAAAAAACAAAAATTATTATTATTATTATAACCATCTAATGATCCACCATTAGTTCCCCAAAGAAAAGATACATACAATTTATGAGTCATTATTAAATGTGTAAACAAATTAAGAGTGGTAAATTTATTTAATGACTATATATATATATATATATATATATTTATATATATATATATATAAGAATTAGTCATGAATTCAGATAAAGTCAAAAGTTGCCAAAACCCTCCACATCCATATCTCCATATCTCCATTGATCTCTTCTTCCATATAAAACTTTTGGTAAATTTCAGGAAGAAGGAAAAACAGGAAAAAAAAGGTGATTTTAACATTGTATTATATTATATTATGAGCAAATTAAACACTATGGCAATAATTTTTTTCACTTTTGGGAAAAAACTGTTCATATATATATTTCGACCTGCCACCCGTTCATACATTGCTTTGTCCATAGAAAATGTGGATTGGACATTCCCCACCCTTTTCATTAGTTGCTATTCGCTCTTAACCAGCATGGGATCTTCCCTTGCACCCCATCATCATCAATTCTTATTCTAGATAAAAGACAGAATAAAAATATATAGTCTTTCATTCATTCATTATTACTATGCCTCAAAGATATTGAAAACATTACTAATACTAACCATTATCAAACTTTATATAATTATTCAATGTTTGACAATCTTTTAATAATGACCCTTTTTTTGCCTTGATTTCCAAGGAACTTTCATTGGGAAAAGGGTCTACCGTCCCTTCCCTCTATTTCTCTTCTTGTTCAATAAATTAGCATTAAAAATGGTGTCCTCAAATCTCACATGAAAGGCGAAATCCAGACACATTTCCTATATTTTGTCCATTAGAATACAATATTCAAGATATGTCAAACTTCAAAATATCTCCACTAATTATAATCCCTTCCTTGTGGTTCTCCTCACTTTCTGCTCCATGCTTCCCCTTCTAACCCTCCTGCTGCTACTCCATGGCCTGGACAGTTTCACACATTCTCTTCACCATTCTTTGGCTCTCCCTTCTCTTTTTATTGCTTCATCAATTCCAGAACTTCAAGTTCAAGACCACCAGCAAACAAACCAGCTCCATAACCTTTTCCTCGCTTTCTCATAACCCTTTGATCAATACTAGAAAAGTTGTTGCTAGCAAATTTGTCTTCACTCCATTTCAAAAGCATCATCAACAAGAGCAGGATGAGCACTCTCCAGACATGAAAAAACAGTCCGAGCCAGCTGATAACGAGATTGATCCGCGTTATGGTGTCCAAAAGCGCCTTGTACCCACCGGCTCAAACCCATTGCATCATTGATGATGATGATGATGACTATTAATTATTATTTCTCAGATGAATGAAAGGAAAAGAAAAACAGGTTGATAATTAGTAAAAATCAACAGTTAGCTACAGTACTATATTTTACGATGGTGAGTTTGTTTCTTTGTTTCTTTGCTTCTTTTTATTTTTTTTATTTTTTTTGTCATCCTTTAGTTCTATGAAACCTTATGCTTTTAGATCATATTGATCATTATATATGTAGAGTATTCTTGTGAGACTAAGCTTGTAAATGTATCGTACGTAAAGGACAATTTTATAATCCTAAGGCATGCAGAAATGACGTTGTATACATTAATTTTAGGGTTTTGGAGATTGATTTTCTATATTATCAACAATGACTATATATACTTGATACTTGATTTGATTTATTTTTTCCTTTTGCGATTTCAAAGAAACAATGAGTGCAAGAACAATATATCAGCTAACACACAACATAATTGATAATCATATTTTCCTGCTAATTATGAAAGTAAAAGAATTACTAATAATAATTATTGATTAGTTACGCACAATACTTCTCCATATGTTAAATGAGGTTGGATAGTGTAAATGGATTGATTGCTTTGTGTTGAAGATCGTGTTTTGTTCTCACTTCACGCTACGTGGTGGATTAATTTATAAATAATGGTTATGGTTGCACTCACCCATTTTTGTAGCTAGGCTTTGGAGTGGAAATTGGTCCAATTGGTGAGGATTTTAGTAATGGGCACTCACTTAATTTTGGTATGCATGTGGTGTTTCTATCATTACTAGTCCTTTTAATTTATGGGTATCACCTATGGGTCACTCCACTTGATTTAAAGAAAGTATTCTTCTTCAATTCTTTCTTTTTTCTTTTAATTTCATGGAATGTGTTTGGAATTTTGGATGTGGTAAATTTTGGCCAAAAATAAATTGACAACTGCTGCTCCTAAGTGAACAATGCTATAAGGGGTGAAATTATAAAAAAAAAATTTGAGTTTATATTTGATATACAGTTAGTGTATAAATTTTATATACTATCAATAAATTAGATGATGTCATCAAAGTTTAATATATGAAATCTACAATGAATCAAATATAGACTCAAAAAAATTATTTGATAAAAAGAATTGGATTTATATAAGATGCAAGATGCTTATCTTTTCTTGTATATATAGTTTAAGACCTAACAAATCTCCATATATATATATAAATATATATATAGGTCATTTATGAATTGTTGAATTTCATAGCTAAGGAGAGGATTAAATACATATAATTAACTATAGTCATTGGAGTTGGCAATTAGAAATTGTGGATTCAAAAAAATTTAAGTGCGTAATACTTATCTAGTTGAGTAGGGGTTTAAGAGTATATTAGAAACTTAAAAAAAAAAAAAAAAAAAACTATAGTCTATGGAGATTTATGAGAATTAGATTTATTTTGATAGCTTGTCAAAATTATAATAGTATATGTATTGTGTAGCTACCTAGCTCCATTGAAACACTATGTATACTAAGAACAAAGTTTCCAATGGGCAGGGCTAGCTATGATTGTACTGGAAATAGGAAAATTATCAGTTCAAAATCGACATAAAGAGATGAGATGACAACATATTTGGTTGGGGGTTGAGGAGAAGATATATGTAACATATATTCCTTAAAAATCAATAATGTCCTAATGATGGCCATCATCATGATTATGGATTGAAAATTTATATATGATGGTAATTTTTTTTTAATGAGAGAGGATATTAGAGGACAGGGGAATTTGTAAGGGGATCATCGATCAACAATTTGCTTTTGTCTCTGTGGGCACAATTGAGTATAATAAAATTTGACCCTTTATTTATTAAAGAAATAACAAAATGTTTAACCAATAATACTTCAAAAAAATTATATAATCAAGCTTGAGTTGTTATGTATTGCTTATCTACTTAATATTTAATTAATTTTTAGGCTTGCATTATTTTTTTTCCTTAACTAGTTAATATAAATACATTGGCTATAAATAATTTCGTCGAAACGGAAAGGAATTTTGATTTCTTGTTAGACGAAGTTCTTTATACATACTAGTATTTCATTATTGATCTAATTATATATATATTTATATTTATATTTATATTTATATAGTTGGCCAAAATGATATATATTATTACAAATTAAAAATATATCAATTTACCTGTTTGAAAATTTTTAAAGTTTTCATAAATGTTTCTTATGCTACATTAGAACGTGATGATAAATTTGACATGAGGATCTTTATCTTAAAAATTCTCTTTGGATTATGCTATGCAAATTTGGCATACTTCAACTTGGGTTTGGACTTAAATTTTTAAGTTCAACATGAAAATATATCTTTATTTAATTTTATTTTAATTTACTAAACTTTCAAAATTATAATAATTTTTTTATATTTGAGATTTCTTAGAGATTGAATTGCCAAAAACTGTATGCTCAATTGATAGGGTATCATATATATATAATATATATATATATATTATATTACAATATACATAATTATCAGAGAGTAATTGCTAACATAAACGTTTATATGGACAGTTTTTTTTTTTTACATGTAAAATAATTCTTAAAACTTCTCATTATGATGACACATAAGATATTTATTAATTTTAAATTATTTATAAAAATATATATATTAAAAATTATTAAATTATCTAAAATTTTAAAATTTAAATCAAAATCAATTTAAATTCTAATGAAATTCTTTTATTATGAACATCACTTTTATCTTAATTTTAAATCAATTTTCAAGTAACTTATCTTTTCTAATTTATTTATAATTAACATGAATATTTAAATTTATCACAACTTTTAAAAATATTATTTAATATCTTTAACATTTTTTGATAAATACTTATTACATTATCTTCAACTTTTAAATATATTTCATAAAAAAATGTAATATATATATATATATATATATATATAAAATAAACAAACACATGTCCTAACACAATCATATAAACCTTGACAGAAATGAAGACTAGGGATTATTTTCTATGTTATAAATTGGGAACTATTTGTCAAACAATTAGTGAACTAGTTCAACTTAGTGAAAAGGCAAATGCATAATTTTCAAAATTAAAAAAATAAAATAAAGCCAGATGTATCAATGACACTTTCACACTTACAACATCTCTTAAGTTTTCATGTGCAACTAAATAGAATTGATATATAATTTTTATACTTTTTAGTCATACGATTGCAAGAATATTTTATGGTCTAAATCTATAATATGTTTGAGAAATTGACTATAAAGAATCCATTTAGATTCTAAACTTTGTCATACCTTTACAATAAAAATGTTAGCAGTAAAAAATTTTTAAGATATCTGTTATGAATAGAGTCAAGATATAAAACATCAGAAAAACTATAAGATAAAAGTATAAAATACTAACATTTAAATATTATTCTCTAATTAGATATTATCTATAGATAAATTTATTATTTAAATATATTTATGGTTAAAGTTTATCAGAATTTAAATGAAAAATCAATTTAAATATAACATAATTAAATAGATAAGTTATTATTTAAATATATTTATGGATTAAATAAAATTATATAGCTTGATTATTTACTGTGTTTCCATTCAACTTATTTTCCAAACAACATTCTATATCTCATAGACTTTAGCGTTACTTTTTTATCACTCTGCCATTTAAGGCGAATTTTTTTTCTATTTTGTTGAGGTAAGCTCTCTTAGTTTAATTTTGACCCTTTTTTTTATATATTACAATATACAAAATTATAAAAACACATATATTCTTATATTTTTGTTAGTATTGTCTGTAGACCTTTTATTTTTTTTATGAATTATTCATTCAATCAAGTAGTATATTTTGTTTTTTAACTAATTATTTATTCAATATTCTCCATTCATATAAAATAAAAATAATGCTATGATTAATTGATATAATAGAGTTGTATATTATTTCATTTTTTTCGATCAAAAAAGTCGTGGAACTCTTTCTTTCTCTGCAAATGTTTTATTTTTCAAATTTTTGTTATTAAATAAAATTTCCTTTGCTATTTTTTTGTAAAAGTAATATTCTTTCTAAAATTTTAAAGTTTTGCCAAGTTAAATTTCTTTTTTTGTTTTAATTTTTGTAATTGACAACATATTCAGTAGAAGTACAAAAAGTTCTACTATCGTCAGAAAATAGCAAAAAGTCTTGCTATCATCGAATTCTAGACTATACAATTAAACAATTATTTCAAATTAAAAATGAGATTATATCATATTCAAAATAATTTTTTAAATTTGTATGAATATTAATGTTATTTAATTAAATTTATATAAAACTCATTCACATGAAGATGGAGATGCCAAAGTGAAAAAAATATTGAAAGAATTGACAGGCCATTCATATATTTTTGAAATAGAACTCAATGATTATAAATTTTTTTTTATGAAAGTTTAAGATTGACTGTTACAAATATTCATGAGATATTTTATGCAAATGAGAGTTGGTATTTACTTGAAAAAATACAAAAGGTAAGTAGTTTAATACATTTCATTAAAATTTTTTATCAATAATTTTCTTAAATAATTATTTATAATTTAATACTATTATTTAAAATATAAAACTATTTCATTTCAATTTTTACAAGAACATAATTCTATATTAGATGTTAACCTCAAAACAATTGAAAGGGACAAAGATTTGGAACGCCATATAAATGCTAAAAATTATGATATTAGTGAAATTCCTAAAAAATATATATAGAAGAGTAAGTTATCACGTATATTATTTAAACATTTAAAATTATTATTTCTCTTAGATAAATAAAATTTATCTTAAAATTACATAAAATTGTAGGTGCACAAAAATGATAAAAGAATATAGAAATGATGCAAATTGAATAAAATTCATTTGAAGTGATAAGACTTTTAGTTTCTATTTTATTATTTTGTTGGCATAATTAATAATATTTTTTACAATATCTTTGGATGTTTTTTCTTCCTCCAATATTATTTATCATATATTTTAAATTTTATTAATTTGTTAATTAAAATTTTTATTTTTATTTGATATTTTAATTATATTATTTATATTTTATATATTTTTTGAACATGTTAATAATTTAATAATATTAATTTAAATTTAAATAAAATAAAAATAATCCTTGTATCATACGGATAACAAGGTAGTTAAATTATTAATTTCAATAATCAAATTCAATTCCGAATAACTTTTAAAATAAAAAAAAAAACGTAGTGAATTAATTAGTGTAGAAGAAATTATATAGATGAGGGAACAGGCTGGGCTGGCGTTTTAAAGATATCCGTCCAATTGGGCCAGAATCGGCCCCGCACATCAACACCTGATCCAATCCGCTATCGAATTCTATCTGCAGAGTGAAGATTACAAAGAGCTTCTGCGAAAATATTAAAAAAAAAAATGTCTTCTTTTCTCTCTTCCCCTCTTCTCCTCCCTTCGAGTCCTTTAAGGAGAAAAACATCTCAAGTAATTCTTTTTAAGGCGGCTTCTTCTGTTAGCAATATTAATGACAACGCTGATTCTTCTTCTTCAAACGCTACAAGTACAAGATTGATCACTTTCTTAGGAAAAGGTGGCTCCGGCAAGACCACCTCCGCTGTTTTTGCTGCCCAGGTTCCTTTTCTATTTCTTTGCATTTTATCTGTTTTTCTCTTTCTTATTCAATACTTTCTAATATGCCTTTTTCTTTTCATTAGATTTAGACACATAGATTGGTGAGTGGTGATCAGACGAATTAGATTTACTCTAAATTCTTCTTTCTAGTATCTTGGTTGAGGACTTGAGGCTGTGTTAAAGGCTGACAACTTTAGCATCATTCATCTACTGATTATTATTTGGCCCCTTTCGAGTTTTTATCATGCAGGCAAAACTAATCTTTTTCTTCTCCCCCTCCCATTTTGACTTGCTTTGCTGTTGCTTAGCATTATGCAATGGCTGGACTGAGTACATGCTTAGTGTTACACGGCCAGGATCGCACTGCTGATTACCTTCTCAATTGTAAGATTGAGTCCTCTCCTATTGTATGCAGTGGCAACCTTTCAGTTGTTAGGTTGGAAACAACTAAAGTATGCTTCTTTTTTGCTTTCTTTTCCATATTCCATCTATGTCGAATTGGTTCTGATGGCTCTATGCTGAGAATGGATTATTTGTTAAACTGCAGATGCTTCTTGAACCGCTCAATGAGCTGAAGCAAGCTGATGCCCGTCTTAATTTGACACAAGGAGTTCTTCAAGGGGTGGGTATGTAATATCTCATCATCTTTTTTCTGTGTTGACTTCCTTACCTTTGGTGTTTTATTTGTCTGCACGGTACTTCGCTCTGTATCTTTATTTGGCATGTAGTAGGTTGTTGGAGAAGAGCTCGGGGTGCTTCCTGGGATGGATTCTATCTTTTCAGTACTTGCACTTGTAAGGCTTCTGGGATTATTTGGGAAATGGGCTCGAAGGAACCATCAAAAAGATAAATTTGACATAATAATTTATGATGGTATCAGCACCGAGGAAACCCTACGAATGATAGGTGCAAGCAGTAAAGCAAGGTTTGGAAATAATGTTTTCTCTTCCCCTAGTCCCCATGGGAAAAAGAAAAAAAAAAAAAAAAACACCTTTCTTGTTCAAAATGATCTATACACAACCCTATGACTATGTACAACCATGTACAGACTGTACTTAAAATACCTGCGGAGCATGGCTGAGAAGACTGATCTTGGGAGATTGGCTGGTCCTTCACTCCTGAGACTTGTAGATGAAGCCATAGGCATAAGTGGGAAGCCATCCCAACTCAATGGAATAATGAGTGCAGAAATATGGGACAGTCTGGAACGAATTCTTGAGGTAAATGTGGATTTCATTTTATCTATTACTAAGTTTTCATGTAGATCAAATAGAGCTGAGTGACTGTAAGTTGTGCAGAGAGGATCTTCTACCGTTTCAGAACCTCATCAATTTGGCTGCTTTCTTGTAATGAATCCAAACATTCCAACATCTCTAAATTCTGCATTGCGCTATTGGGGTTGTGCAATTCAAGCTGGTACCCTGGTTTCTGGTGCATTCGCCATTGCTTCCCCTCATTTGGATGTAAAATTTATGGAAAACATGGAGGAGAATTTTTCACCCTTGCCATTTGCTTTCATTCCAAATCTCTCAATGGGTTCCTCTCAAGATTTGAATGCCATCATTCTGAACAATTCCAGTGAAGGTGCAAGGGATCTTCTTTCTTTGCCGGCAGGCCAGAAGTCTAGAATGGTGTCCTCAATAAATTTTGATGCAGCAAGAAAATCAGTAACTCTTCTCATGCCTGGTTTTGACAAGTCAGAGATCAAGCTGTATCAAGTATGTTCAGATCTGAACTCTTCATTTCTTCCATGTTTTCTGATAGCTCTGAGGGTTTTCTCACGTGGTGGCAAAAATTTTCTTTCATATCTTTAATAATCTTCCAAATGAGCAAAAATAAAGTTGTACCTGGAGAGGGAAATATTGCATTCTGTATTTGTTAGTGCTTCTAGTGCTGATAGAGATACTTTATACTACAGGAATTGATGCATTAAGTTTAAGTATCTTAGTCTGTTAGATACAACTCTCCCTCTAATTAATCTTTGAAATGAGCAAAAGTGAAGTTGTGCCTGGAGAGGGAAATATTGCATTCTGCATTTGTTAATGCCACAAGAGCTGATAGAGATACTTTTTACTACAGGAAATGATGCATTAAGTTTAAGTAGCTTAGTTGGTCAGATACAACTAAGAATTTAACAATCTGCTCGGAAACCTTTTTTAGGGTTATTTAACTTGCTTGTTGCTAGTTTGTCAGATACAACTAAGAATTCAACTATCTTCTTGGAAACCTTTTTTTGGGGTATTTAACTTGCTTGTTGCTCACATGTTATTCTACTTCTTAACTTATTGTGAAGTTCAGAAATTCATACAGTATGATGTTACTTAAATATGTGACAAATGCAGTATAGAGGAGGATCTGAGTTGTTGGTGGAAGCAGGGGACCAAAGACGAGTCATTTTTCTGCCTCCAGAAGTTCAAGGGAAGGTAGGAGGTGCCAAGTTCATGGACAGAAGTCTTGTAATCACAATTCGATAATGCAGTTATGAAAGATTGTATTTTTTTTTTTTTGGCCAGTAGTTATGAAACATTGTTTAATGCTTAATTCTCTTTTCCATATTGAATGTCTTCTTGAAACAAAAGTGATCGGATTTTATTGTAGCAATTGAATAAGGAATTGATGTGATAGGTTCCTTTAAATTAACAGAAAAAGCACTGGACTTCAAATTTGGCTTATTTGTCAGGGACCTAGAGGATAATAAAAATCTAAGAGATGGTAACTATCCCGAAAGGAAGCTTTCTGCTTTGTATCTGGGTGGTGCAAATGGCTCACAGAAACCTATAACTAAGTTAGAGATAGTAAAAGATGTAGAAATTTGAAGACTTACCAGATTCTGCTGTGTTTTTCATCTCTAGTCAGTTGTTTACTTTTTTTATTGGACAATGAAAGCTACCTCTTGTGAGGTTTGTTATGTTTTATTTTGAGGAAAATGAGAATACGAATTCAATTCTAACAAGGGGTCACATGCATCCATCATTGAGTCAAATACTTAGTTATAGCATTTTAATATAATATAGAACAATTTTTGCAGCTCTTTTAATTCAGGTACCATTGTATAAATGTTAGCATAAATTTAAGCTTATATTAACAAAACTTGAACCACAAAGCCTCCAATTATACCCTTGCGGTAATATTTCTCTTTCCTTTTTTCCGTCTTCCTTTCTAATTGAACCGGGCAGGTTCATTGTACAGTATCCAATCTATTCAAGCATAAACGCAATAGCGGAGAAACAAAGAAAATAGTTAAAAGGCCAAAAATAGCATATCATGCTTCAGGCTTATTGTCTTCTCCCATTTGTGTATAGACGCGGCTCCTAAGTTACTTCAAAAGCCTTCATGCTTTCTGCCTCAAAACCACCCGCAAACTGGAGGAAAAAAGAAATCCAGTTGTCATTTATTTGATTTTATTTTTCAACTAGAATTTAAGCGAGAGCTCTACTTAAAGCAGTACAAGTAAGGGATTCTTTCGATTAGACAGGAATCAGAATTCAGGTTTCAATGGAAACTAAAGATCTTAAGCTAGACATCTTAAAATAGATAAATAATAAAATTAAAGAAATTTTATTACCTTTAGTATTAATGCTTAAGACCAAGAGAACCAATTCCAAAGCAAAATACCTGATGAACATGGAATGCAAAACGGACACCTTGCAGAAGTATAAACTCTGTATTTGGTTCTTTCTCAGGACCACTCAGTGCATCGAGTTCTGATGCTACACGTTTCATCTATTTCCTCGCCAATTGCACAGATGAAAGCTTGATCTGCAATATGCGAACGAAGTAATTGCATTATATAGTAGTAAAAGTTACATAATAATTTTATATTCGTAGTGGTGGTTTCATCTGTACTTAATTGCGTACAGCAAATTATGCATATTCGATATCATAAGAACACTTCAATATAAACCTAGAAAAGTATGCCAAACTCACAGAAAGTAAAATTTTCCGTATGGCCCTTCTAATGATCCAAATCCTTAACTTAGCAACGACATGTTGAACTATTAGTAGCATAACATAGTAGTGTTGATCAACTTGCCATCACACGTCATAAGAGGGTGCCACTTAGTGAGCTACGCTCTGTCAGAAAAATAAGGTTCAACCTCATGTAATTGGTTATTAACTAATCAAAAGTCATGAGCTTTGATTTTTTTTTAACATACAGTCTTAGCTACTTAATAAAAGAAAGTGAGATTGTTTTAAGGTGGTGTTGCAAACCAAGAAGAGAAAGAAGAAAAGCCAAAAAAATAGAGAAAAAAAAAAGAAAAGAGAATTGATTGAGCGGAAGTTGATCCGTAGTCCGATTAAGTCGAAATTTTGTCAGCATGTTTATGATTCAGAGTTCTACATTTTGAACGGTGAAGATCATGTTTGAAACTCTTTAGGATCAAATACATGGTGTATTTGTTGAGTCACCTATTTGATGAGATTTTTTTAATTGTCTCTCTAATTGTTGATTAGTTCTAATTTTAGCTAGAGAAGAACTTTGTATATCCATTATTTGATAGTGAAAATTTTTTTAGTGGTCCATGATTTTTTTCTTTTACACCAGAGGATTTTTCACATAAATCTTGACCCAACAAGTAATATAAGAATGAGAATTATTTTGAGACAATGATACAGAAGTAGCCTAAAATAGAAGTAAATTCTATTTGAGATCATGGAGGATGATACAGATTCTATGATAAAATTGACAGCATCAAATTATTCAATTTAGAAGCCTATGATAGAAGATCATTTATATTGCAAAGATTTGTATGAGTAGGTATTGGGTGATTCGATTAAACCAGCAGATATGAAAGATGAAAGCTGAAAAAAGTTAAATAGAAAGATGCTGGCTACAATAAAAAATGAGTTGATATTAGCGTGTTTCATAATGTAGCACAGGAGGCAGATGCGTACATTATTTGAGAAAAATTGACAACATTATAAGAAAAAAATAGATATGAATAAAGTTATGTTTGTTAAAAAGCTTGCAACTTTACAGTACAAGGATGGACGATCTATTACAGAGCACTTTAGTGATTTTTAAAATATATTTAATCGAATGACTACTATGGAGCTTAAGATAGATCGTGAAATGAAGACGTTATTTTTTTTAGGTTCATTGCTAGACAGTTGAAATACTCTAGTTGTGACTATTCTTAATTTAGCTCCTAATTATAAGGTAATATTGGATATGGTAAAAGACAATACACTTAATGAAAAAGTAAGGCAAAAAGATGTAGACTCTAAGAATCAAGCTCTGGTAACAGAGAACAAGGGCAAAAACATCGACAGAAGTCAAAACTCAAAAAGTCACAGTAAGTCTAAACATAGATCCAAGTCCAGAGATAAAGTGAAGTGTTTCCATTGTGATAAGGTAGGTCATATAAAATGACACTGTAAAATCTTGAAGTAAGAGTGAAAAGATGAGAAAAGTAAGAGTTCAGATGATAGCAATGTTACAATAGTGAATTCAGATAGCGATTCAATTACTTTAATTTATACACATAGTAATTTTAATCATGTTGATGATCCCGACATTGATTGAATAGTTGACATAGGAGTGACAATTCATTGTGTTCTTAAAAAAAGATTGTGTTAAAAGGTTGTTTATAATTTACAAATTAGAAAACTTTGGTTATACTAGGATAAAAAATAAGAGTGTGTCACAGATTGTTGGGATTAGTGATATTATTGTACAAACTAGTACAGGTTAAATGTTGACTTTAAGGGATGTCAGACACATTTTGAATATAAAAATGAACTTACTTGCTATTAATGTCTTTGATAAGGAGGGATATGAGAGTTGACAAAAAGAATGGACAATGAAAGCTTCTCAAAGGATCTATGGTAGTTGCAAAGGAAAAACTATGCTGCATAATGTATAAGACATCGATGCAATTAAACAACAACCAAGTAAATACCATTGAAGATGATGATTCAACAAACTTGTGGCACAAGAAGCTAGCACACATGAACGAAAAGGGATTACAGGTTTTGGTAAGGCAATCTCTCATTTCTTTGACCAAAAGTATGTTTCTCAATTCATGTGATTATTGTTTGTTTGATAAGCATCATAGAGTTTATTTTTGTAAGAGTTCTCACAGAAAAGAAAATATATTTAAATTGATTTATTCTAACATATGTGATCCCATTGAGGTTGAGTCATTAGGTAGTAGCAGGTATTTTGTTACTTTTATTAATGATGCTTTACGTAAGACTTGGGTATATATGTTGAAAAACAAAAGCTAGGTATTGCAGTATTTTTAAAAATTTTATGCCATGATAGAAAGGATGATAGGGTTACGCTTGAAGTGTATTTGGACTGATAATGGTGAGGAATACACATTCAAAGACTTTGAAAAGTATTGTTCAAAGCATGAAATCAGGCATGAGATGACAAAACCTAGAACACTGCAATATAATGGTGTAGCTGAAGGATGAATCACACTATTGTGAAAAAAGTTAGATGCATGTTGAGGATGGCAAAATTACCAAAGCCATTCTAAGGTGAAGAGTCAACATAGCTTATTATTTGCTTAACAAATCATCATCAATTCTTTTGAACTTTGACATTTTAGAAAAAGTGTGAACAAAAAAAAAATACTTCATACTCTCATTTGAAAGTTTTCGGGTGTAAAACATTCATGTATGTGCCGAAAGAACAGAGGTCAAAGCTTGATAGTAAAGCTATACAGTATGTGTTTGTAAGATATGGTGATGATAAATTTAGCTACAGAGTATGGAATCCAGTGAAGAGAAAGACAGTCAGAAGCAGATAAGTGATCTTTCATGAAAAAAACCTTAGTAGACGTTGAAAAAAATAAGAAGACTATACGAATTACTATTAAGTATGATATTTCAACATCGATAAAAATTTCACAGAAAAAAGTCATAGATGGTGAAAATGAACAAGAAACAGAACTTGAGGATATGAATGAGTCAGTCACAGTTAGTGATGAGCTAGATACAATCAGTTTTGAGTAGAAAGAGTAATCCTCTCTGCCTGAGAGTGTTAAATATAGGAAGCTACCTTTGGCATCAAGTGATATAGAGTCTCAGCCTAAGAGATCTACTAGAGAGTGCAGGCCATCTATCAGGTATCCAAGTTCATTTTTATTTTAGTTACTAGTAAGAGGAAGCCAGAGAGCTTTCAAGAGGTACAAATTACTTTGAATAAAAAACACTGGTTCAAAACAATGAAAGAAGAGATTGTGTCATTACAAAAAATGATACTTATGATCTTACTAAACTTTCGAAAGGGAAAAAGTCATTGAAAAATAAATGGGCATTCAAGTTGAAAAAAGATGGTAACAAGCTAGTAAGGTACAAAGCTCAATTGATGGTAAAAAATTTTTCTCAAAAACCAGCATCAATTTTGATGAGATCTTCTCTTCAGTTGTGAAGATGAGTTTCATTCAAGTGGTACTAGGATTAACAGCTAGTTTGAATCTTGAGCTTGAGCAATTTGATGTTAAAACTGCATTCTTGCATGGTGACTTACAATAGGACATTTATATGAATCAGCCTAAGAGTTTTGAAGTTAAAGAGAAAGAGCACTTAGTTTGCAAATTGAAAAAAAGCTTGTATGGCTTGAAACAAACTCTGTAATAGTGATACAAGAAGTTTGATTCTTTTATGGTAAGTTACAGCTATAAAAAAACGACAATAGATCCTTGTATGTATGTCAAAAAATTTTTTGATAGTAACTTTTTATTCTCTTATTATGTATTGATGATATGTTGATTGTGAAAAAAGATACTAGTATGGTTTGCAGG